CTTGTGTGGTCTGGACGTCTACCATCCTCAGCTCCCTGATTCTTGTTTTGTGTTTGTGACTCTCTTGTCATACGTCTTCTTGTCTTTGGCACTTGTATGACCTAATTGCGTTGAAAGTGTGGTAAAACGTTTCGTAAAACAATCAAAGAAAAAAGGACAGTGGGAAAGCACTACTTTATAAATCCGACTTTGCTTGAAAAAAAGGGGGAAGGGGGAGGAGGGGTTGGGCTGAGAGAGGAGGGAGAGGGTTGATATACCCGATGATGTTGTTGTATAAATCTAATTTAAAAACGTACGCCAGTTTTGAGCTGGAAAGTGAGAATTTCAAGGGAAGGAGAAGTTTTTGAAAAATTCCCTCACCCAGTTTGAAGTTTTAGAAATACCTGACGAGATTCTCTTCTTTTTTTCTACAGATTCTGGACGAGATCAGCCGGGAATCTGCGAGATCAGCCGGGAATCTGCGAGATCAGCCGGGAATCTGCGAGATCATTTTGTCTGGGCGACGGTTCTCTGATCGTCTGCTGATGTGATTCACGTGAGGACCGTTGAGCAGGTGTACAAAGAGTTGGCGGTGTCTGTAAACCTAACCCTACCCTTACTCCTAATCCTACCCCTAACCCTACCCCTACACCTACCCCTAACCCTACCCCTACCCCTACCCCTACCCCTACCCCTAACCCAGGACGTAGGTAGCCATCAGGAGTTGTCTGTGACAGGAAAGTTTCCCGTCAGTCCTTGTGGCTGGAGGGGAGAGAGGAAGTCTTGACTCACGGCCGTCACCAGCCCTTACAACAAGAGGAAGTCTTGACTCACGGCCGTCACCAGCCCTTACAACAAGAGGAAGTCTTGACTCACGGCCGTCACCGGCCCTTACAACAAGAGGAAGTCTTGACTCACGGCCGTCACCAGCCCTTACAACAAGAGGAAGTCTTGACTCACGGCCGTCACCAGCCCTTACAACAAGAGGAAGTCTTGACTCACGGCCATCACCAGCCCTTACAACAAGAGGGAGTCTTGACTCACGGCCGTCACCGGCGCTTGCAACAAGAGGAGAGCTTGACCCAGTTTTGTCCGTTAGGATTCCTCGTGGATTGTATTTCTACATCTCTGAGTCGGAAATAAAACCGGCATTGAAAGAAGACAACACAGGTTGGCTGAAGGAACAGATCCCTGGTTACGTCAGGTGCTGTGTGTGCTATTGTTTGTATCTGTTGTGACGTGGGGAGGTTCATGGATGTGCCCAGAAGTTAGAGCGGTGGGAGAGATTTCAAACCCCGTGATTTGTGATTAGCTGGATCCACACGGTGTCGCCACGTGTACTGTTGGAATCTCTACGGCCAGTTCAGCTTAAGCCGAATCGCTGGTGGGTGTCACGACTCGCAGACACTTGTGTTCCCGCTCTGCGCCAGCTCTTGCCTCATCCCCCACACTCCACACTCCAGGGGCGGGGATTCACAACGACCACAGGGAGAAGTTTATGTGACAGGATGCTCATTGCTTTGACAACAGACGCCTGGCCTGGAAATTGATGACGTGACATAATTCCTAGTTGTGAAGAACGACAGGACAACTGTGTGAACACTGCTTTGATTACCTGCAGTGACTGATTACCTGCACTGACTACCGAAGACCGACCGTCTAACAGATCCGATCACGGGAGGTGACCCCGTGGTACTGTGTGTTCATCAGTTGTGTCTGTGTACAGAATCTGCTCCAGTTGTTTCCCCTTGGAAGTGGTGCAGGTCCCGGCGTCTGGATGTGCAAGGCCGGGCAGTAGCGGGCGCGTATGGCGAGGGGGCAGAGATTGACAGGACGAGTTCACACCTGGCTGTCAGCCATGATCAACGCGTCCGTGCTTCAGCTGATCCTTGTGGTCACAGCACTGGCCGAGAAGTGCACCAGAGCTGTCCCGTGAGTACCTATGTAACTGTCCCGTGAGTACCTATGTAACTGTCCCGTGAGTACCTATGTAACTGTCCCGTGAGTACTTTTTGTAACTGTCCCGTGAGTACCTATGTAACTGTCCCGTGAGTACCTATGTAACTGTCCCGTGAGTACCTATGTAACTGTCCGTGAGTACCTATGTAACTGTCCCATGAGTACCTATGTAACTGTCCCATGAGTACCTATGTAACTGTCCCGTGAGTACTCTACTCTCTGTAACTGTCCCGTGAGTACCTATGTAACTGTCCCGTGAGTACCTATGTAACTGTCCCGTGAGTACCTATGTAACTGTCCCGTGAGTACTTTTTGTAACTGTCCCGTGAGTACCTATGTAACTGTCCCGTGAGTACCTATGTAACTGTCCCGTGAGTACTTTTTGTAACTGTCCCTTTCGTTTTGTTTGATCGAATGTATCGTTTTGATCGCTTTTATGTTTCCGGTTCTCTTCTGTGTATTATAAATCGGGGGCACAGCAGATGAGAAGATGTTTGTCTTATTAATAGGGTCGGGGGGGGGGGGATTCTGTTTTGAGTTTGTCAGAGAGATCTTCTGTGCCACCAAACCTCTGTCTGTGGTCATAGTCAGTGAGCATGGGCCAGGTTTCCTGTGTCTTTTTGGGTGCATGTTTGGCAGTGTGTTTCCCTGTTCTGTTGTGGGTGTGTACGTAACTGTTCGTTGGTCTGTCTTCTGCCCCAACCACGGCATGCCAGTCCGGGGAGACGGACGATCCTGTACACCAAGGACCACAGATTCTCTCGCCAGCTGGCTCTGTCTGTCATGCCAGTCCGGGGAGACGGACGATCCTGTACACCAAGGACCACAGACTCTCTCGCCAGCTGGCTCTGTCTGTCATGCCTGTCCGGGGAGACGGACGATCCTGTACACCAAGGACCAGTGACTCTCTCGCCAGCTGGCTCTGTCTGTCATGCCAGTCCGGGGAGACGGACGATCCTGTACACCAAGGACCACAGACTCTCTCGCCAGCTGGCTCTGTCTGTCATGCCTGTCCGGGGAGACGGACGATCCTGTACACCAAGGACCATAGACTCTCTCGCCAGCTGGCTCTGTCTGTCATGCCAGTCCGGGGAGACGGACGATCCTGTACACCAAGGACCACAGACTCTCTCGCCAGCTGGCTCTGTCTGTCATGCCTGTCCGGGGAGACGGACGATCCTGTACACCAAGGACCAGTGACTCTCTCGCCAGCTGGCTCTGTCTGTCATGCCAGTCCGGGGAGACGGACGATCCTGTACACCAAGGACCACAGACTCTCTCGCCAGCTGGCTCTGTCTGTCATGCCAGTCCGGGGAGACGGACGATCCTGTACACCAAGGACCACAGACTCTCCCGCCAGCTGGCTCTGTCTGTCACGCCATATTGTGTCTGACATAGGGTGGTTCCCCCCCCCCCCACACACACACACATCTAACTGTCTGGGTGGGTGGTTAGCGGGTGCTCTGGTGTGGTTTGCTCCTACTTTCCTATCAAACATCCATCGTCCGTATCTGTCCTCCTTTTTGTGTTTGTCACTCTCTTGTAACATCTCTTACCTTCAGCCGGAGAAGCGGTTGAGTCATACACCTAATTCAAAAACATTTTTCTTTTTGAATTGAGTCTTTCTGTCTGTCTGTCTGTCTGTCTGTCTGTCTGTCTGTCTGTCTGTCTGTCTGTCTGTCTGCCTTGGTTTGAGTGATACTCCTTTCCAAAAGGAAAAGACCGTTGAGTAATGATAAACGTATTTTCCTCCAGTGGAAGGCAGCATTTGTCAACACAATGCACCGTAACAATATCTGTAGGTCTACTGGAATAGAAATACCCGACAAGGCAGATGATTGGCTGTGTGGCGTGATGACGTCTGTGCCAGTCTGTTGACATATGATTGGCTGTGAGGCGTGATGACGTCTGTGCCAGTCTGTTGACATATGATTGGCTGTGCAAGTCAAACTGACATTGTCATAATTTGCTCTCACTGGGGTCTGTTCATGTTTCACAAGATACGAGTAGGTGGTTGGCGGCTGCTCTGCTGTAGTGTGTTCCTTCTTTCCTATCCAACATCTATCGTCCTTATCTCTCCTCCCTCTTTTTGTGTTTGTTACTCTCTTGTAACACCTCCAATTTCCCTCACTTCTATCACCCTATTGTGCTGAAAGTGCCGTAAAATCGTACTAATACTAGATAAGGGATATATTTTTGAATAAATAATTTCTAGTAGACCTTTAGTTTGTTTAAGAATTCAGCGTCTGTACCCAACACGACAGACCAAACTTCTGAAACAACTCAGTCATAAAAAAACAGCCCCTAAAGGATTCGAACCAGCACCCTCCCCATCGTTGTCCAGTCTGATGCCAACACAACAATGGTTGGGCCCTCTTCCGATAAGACAACATTCCCAACAAGATAAGATGCAGTGTTCTGTATTGTCACGTGTTTGGGAGATAATTGTTTACCTTTCAACCTGTGTAAGCGCGCTGGAGTTTTGCGTTGAAAAGGTAGAATTGACAAGCAGCATTTAGGAGGCCATTTTGAAATATTTGGACGGTGTGTGGAATCAGCATTCAATCATGATTGTCACAGACAACGGGAAACTTTTCTGTAGAACAACAACAACATTACGTGAGTCTAGGTCGGAACAGTTAGGTGCTTTTGACGGGGTACACCGGAGACCACACTAGTCCACACACATACACACACACACACACATACACACACACGCACACACACACACATACACACACACGCACACACACACACACACACACGCACACACACACACATACACACATACACACATACACACACACACACTCACACACTCACACCCCCCCCCCACATACACACACTCACACACTCACACAAACACACACACACACTCACACACCCACCCACACACACACACACACTCACACACACACACACACACACACACACTCACACAGCCACCCGCAGGCAGACTTACAGGTACACACACGGACACACACACACACACAGTGAGCGGTAGTGAGATCACAACAAACCTGACAGCCCACCTGGCCCCCACATTTCCTGGACCTTCCCTCAAGGACCCAACACGCGGCCACACTACTTGCGTGAAGAGGGTAATGTGCAGTATTCTAGACGATTGCTTTCGTTCCATTCTTTTCATTTTGACACGTCTCTCTCTCTCTCTCTCTCTCTCTCTCCCTCTCTCTCTCTCTCTCTCTCTCTCTCTCTCTCTCTCTCTCTCTCTCTCTCTCTCTCTCTCTCTCTGTGCATGTGTGTGTGTGTTTGTGTGTTGTGTAGTTTTGTGTTTCCTGACTTGTCTGTACACACATGTACTCCCCACGACTCCCCCAATCCCTCAAAGGTTTTGGAAATGCGTGGACTCACTAAACGAGGAACAATTTGTGCTATAGTCAGCCACGCTTTTTGAAATGCTTGGACTTACAAACCAAAATAACAATACCTGTATCTCAGACTCGCAACCGAGCGGTCGGAGGTTCGAATCCCGTCAGGGGCCCTACGTTGTGTCCTCGGGGAAGGCACTTCACATAACTTTTCCTCACTTCCCCCAGGAAGGAATGGGTATCTGGCCATAGACAGCGAACTTTTTTGTCAGTTTGTTATACAGTGCGTTTATTGTGAGGCTGTAGAGGGGAACTGTTTGTTTCTCTCGTGGGATCAGCCGCTTCTCAACTTTGTCCTGTCAGCAATTTGTGCAAAAGGCGTCCGGGAAGGGTAACATTTGGCGGGAGAACATGAGGGGGAGATCTACGACTTCTTTTGGCGGGAACTCTCCTGGTCCAGGCTTCTCTTCAAGTCGACGGAATCTGTGAAACCTTCAGAGGGGAGAGATCTGTTGTTTGTGTTCTTTTCAAGTCGATACAGAGAGAGAGGGGGGGATAGACAGAGGGAGAGACAGGGGAGAGCGGGAGGTGGGTACAGAAGGAGAGAGAGGGAGAAGGAGAGAGAGGGCGGAAGAGTGTCAGGGAGAGAAAGAGAGAGAGAGAGAGAGAGAGAGAGAGAGAGAGAGAGAGAGAGAGAGAGAGAGAGAGAGAGAGAGAGAGAGAGAGAGAAACCCATTTCAAGTCCCACAGCCTTTTAACAGTGTCCGTCTGTAGCACAAATTATACCTGACGACATTATGGGCGGGAGGAAAAAGGGCCGAGTTACGAGAGTGCGGGGAAGTGCAACCAACCGTTATTCTTTGGGGGGGGGGGGGAACTCATGCGCGTGCCTAACTGTTCAAGAAAAAGCAACTCTCTCTCTCTCTCTCTCTCTCTCTCTCTCTCTCTCTCTCTCTCTCTCTCTCTCTCTTTCTCTCGCTCTCTCTCTCTCTCTCTCTCTCGCTCTCTCTCGCTCTCTCTCTCTCTCTCTTTCTCTCTCTCTCGCTCTCTCTCGCTCTCTCTCGCTCTCTCTCTCTCTCTCTCTCTCTCTCTCTCTCTCTCTCTCGCTCTCTCTCGCTCTCTCTTTCTCTCTCTCTCTCTCTCTCTCTCTCTCTCTCCTCAGGGCGATTTTTCTGTCCATCATTACAGTGATAATGGCTCTTGCTGTCCTTATCTCTCCTTGTCGCGTCTCCCTCGTGTCGTGTGTTTGCGCCATGCTGTGTCGTCCACACGGAAGGTTTCGTGTCGTGTGTTTGCGCCATGCTGTGTCGTCCACACGGAAGGTTTCGTGTCGTGTGTTTGCGCCATGCTGTGTCGTCCACACGGAAGGTTTCGTGTCGTGTGTTTGCGCCATGCTGTGTCGTCCACACGGAAGGTTTCGTGTCGTGTGTTTGCTGCGCCATGCTGTGTCGTCCACACGGGAGATTCTTGTCTCTGTCTCCATAATTGGGTTATGGGGATTTGTCTGGCTGAATCTTCCATCTTATTGTGCGTCTATTTTTAGACACGGACTCCCGTCGGCAAAGTGGAAAAGTCTTTGGGAGGATGACAAGTTTTCACAATACATGGGGGTTGTGGGGGGGGTTTTTTGTTGTTGTTTTTTTTTTTGGGGGGGGGGGGTCTTTTTGTTTTTAGCTTAAGGTCGTTTTCAACTGGCAATCGTTATTTGCTGTCTTGTCAAGGTAGCCGATTAAGTCCGTGCTTGTTTGTTGTGGCATGTCGTGTAACAACCGACACTCCTTCTGCCCGGCGACTAGATCCCGTCTTGTTCATGTTTGCCAGAATAGAACGTCGTAATCTTTGGTGGGGAGCTGGGGTTAAGGCTTCTTCCAAATATCTTAAGTGGGGTTGAGTAGGATTTGTATGCACAGATTTCGGAATTGCCAGCAATGTCGACCAGAAACTGCCACTAGAGGTAGGGCAGTGCACACGTCAGACGCGAAAATCTGTGCCCGGATGATGGCACGGCCAACTTGTGTGAGCCAGATCGTGAACAAAAAGATGCGTATCGACAAGTTAGCAGTCACTTACTGCCGGGAAGTAGCAAGATAGATGGACAGATGCCACAGAGGGGGGGGGAGCGGGTGGTGTGTTCCTTGTGTCCAGTCAGACATCTTGTTGTTGTGGTGGGTGGTTGGCGGGTGCTCTGGTGTGTTTCTTGTGTCCAGTCAGACATCTTGTTCCTTCTCTCTCCTCTTTCTATTCTATGAAGGTACCTCTCTGGTGACACCTCAAATCGTGGGCACCTTTGTCTCCTATTTGTGTCACATGTGCTGGAAAACGCAATTCTAAAAATAAAAATAAAAATTGATAACTAATATATCGGTTTTGACTCTCCCTGGATGGTTGGCCCATTGACATTGTCACTCATAGGCTCTCTTTGTTCCGAAATATTGGAGTGGGCTTGTTTTGGGGTTGGGTTTTGGTTTTGGTTTTTGTGGGGGGGGGGATGGGGGGGATGGGGGGTGTTTTGTTTGCTTTTTTCTATTACCGTAAAGCTTTGTCAAATTGGTTTCATTTGTGCGCTTCAGGCTGTGTGTAAGACGTCACTGACTTTGTGGTGGGCCGATGGAGGAGGGGAAATCTTGTTGTACTGAAGTCATTGACAGACGACGTCAGACAGATATCTGGCCCTATCTTCGCCAATGTGGGAGTGCGCCGAGTATTCGTTGTATATCTAGTTCTTTGGGGTGCTGAGAGGGTTAAAAATAGACATGAAACTAATTGGTGGTTGGGGGGGGGGGGGTTATAGGGAAGAAGGACAAAGGACAAGACCGCTAGGTGATAAAAGAGAACAAAGATGTTGATCGCTTGTGGACTCTGTGCTCGTGATGTGGAAATGCTGAACAGTAGATAGAGACAAAGAAACAGCAGAAACCCATGAGCTGTTTGGTTCATGACGTGTTGTTTTCCTGTGAACATAAACAAAGGATGTGCCGGCGCTCTCCTATCTCAGCTTGTGTCTCGCCCAACCACGGGGCAGTCGGCGGGTGTTCGGATCTCCCAGCGGGATGTTTTCGAGTTAGGGTCTTTGTCAATGCTCTCTCAG